CACAGCATTATTAAAAATCAAACTAAGTCCTGCCTGGGGATTGGTACCAGTAGGAGAGGGGAGGATGTAAGGAAAGGGTGTGGGAGGGTGAATGTGGTGGAAATATTACGTACTCATGTGTGAAAATGGAAAGATGAGACCTGTTGAAACTATTCCAGAAATAAAGGAAAGGGAAGGATAAAAGAGAATGACTGGGGGGGGGGGTGAGTTTAGCTATGATATATTGTAAGAATTTTCTAAATGTCACAATGTATCCCCAGTACAACAATAAAATGATAAAATAAACTTTGGTACCTAAAAATTAAACTATATAAATTTACAATGAAATAGATTATATAGAAAACAAAAGTAACAAATACTCAAAACTCATCCCTTGCTAGTTACTTTTTTACATTGTACATTCAATATTCTTGGGATTATTTATGCGCTTACATCTTCCTGAAGGAAACACTGTCTAATGGTGGCTACTGTGTGTCTTTCCCCTGTACTGCATTCAGTGACAGCACACTGACAGCTTGGAACTGTGGGGGTATTTTACACCACAGGAATTGGCAAGTGTTACAAATCAGAGCCTTTCTTTTTCCAGGGGGAGAAGGAGGGGGCCAGTTGTTAGACATTCACTAACACACTCCACCACGGGTACTGATAACCAAACAAACAAATCTTCGGCCTATAAGCAACCATGTCCCCTGAGGTAGAAACCCCTACTTCCTTGGGCCAGTTTCCTTAGTATGAAAGTTTTCATTTTTGTCCCAACCATGAGAACATTTAACCAAACTAATACATTTATTCAGATATAGGATTTTTAAAAATATTATGAAAAATTCCAAACATCCAGCAAATTTGAAGGAATTTTATAAAGAAAGAATCCCTGTATACCCACCACTCAGATGCTACCATTAAGCTTGTATCATCATATAGCTGTCTGTCCATGCTTAATTTAGAGATTTTTAAATTACTTGTGCAATATGTATGTAATTGGTATTGATACTTACAGAATGTGGTATATTAGAGAATTTAATAGATTAGTATTATAGATCCAACATGAAATACGTAATAAGCACTTGGTTTTAAATTTTAAGTTGACATATTTAAGAAAAGACTCACCATATTTAAGAATTAAGAAAGATTTGCTGTAAACAGTTAAAATATTTAAAAGTTAAAGCATTTAATATCTTATATGTACTTACCCCACTTAAAATGTAAAAGGGTATTTAAATAACTAGTGTCTAATTGGCAACAAAAATTAATCAAATACCTCCTTAGAGGTGTTAAAACTTTCTCTCTCTCTCCATATATATATATAGTTTTATGGTTTATTATTCTATTTATAAATATGTAAGTATATATCACCAAAAACTTAGTCTTTGATTTTTGAAAATCAAATTAAATGTTAGATTTTTAAACCCCAATGCAGTGACTCAAGCATGGGGCCCCGAGTTCAAATCCCAGTACTACTGGGAAGAAAAGTATCCAGTGTAGAAAAGCCACTGTTAGAGATGAGAAATTTCTGTAGACAGGTACACTGTGATTACAACCTTAGGTGAGGAGCAGAGAGAGGTCCATGGAGGAAGAGAAAATTTTTCTGTAGAGGACCAGGGAAGACCTTCCGAGAAGAAATGCAGTAACAGTAACTACCAAGTGCCTAGTGAGTGCCAGGTATGGCTTAATACTTCCTCATGCGTTACCCTTCAAGCCTCACACTTCAAAATGTCCCCAAAAGACACGTGTAAAGGCTTGGTCACCAGCCTGTGGCATTGTTAGGAGATGATGGAACCTTTAAAAGGCAGAGTTTAGTGGGAGGAAGTTAGGTCCTGGGGATGTGCCTTATAAGAGAATGGTAAGATCCCACCCCTTCTTCTCTCTTTGCCCTCTGACTGCAGCAAGGTAAGCATCTTTCACCACCATGATGTCCTGTGCCACCCTGGACCCAAAGGCAGCAGGCCAAGTGGCCATAGATCAAAACCTCTTAAACCATGTGGCCAAAATAAACATTTCCTCTTTCTAAGCTGATTGTCTTAGGTATTCCTTGCAGTAATGGAAAATGACTAACACACAAGCCAAGCAAACAAAGCACATTATCAACTGTCTTAAACATGCCTCAGGCAAGCTAGGTGGTCAGGTCACATAGACTGTGTTTCTAGAATTGAACTCCTTGACTTCCCCTCATCCCAAACTTTTAAAATACTTTTAGCATTTGGTGGGAGAATATTATAACATCTAAAGAACTTCAAAATCCAACTATATGATGAAAAAAGTTAGCTAGAATTTAAGGAGTGAGAGAGAAGTTTGCAGGGTCAAGTTAGGAAGATAAAGAATTAGGAAGGGAAACATCTAGAACTCGAGATTGAAAGGCAAGACCTCTTCTGTGTCCCCCATCTCAATGGGGGACATTTCAAATCTTCTCACAGGTCCAAGCCAGAAACCCAAGATCTTGGCACCCTTGACTCTACCAGATACTCTTGGCATCCAGTGCTCCCCCTTGGAAACCTGCAAACCATCTTTGCCTTCCCACTGGCATTCTACTCATACCTGGACTGAATGACTGAGAGGGGTCCTATCTGTTCTCCCCGTCTCTAGACTGCCCCTGTCCTGACAAACTTGCCAAAGCAATCTTACCAGCACCTATTTCCCTAAATCCTTCAAAGGGCACAGGGGCCTTCATCATCTCACCTCTCCTGAGGTCTCCACACCCATCCATGTCTTCTTCCTCAGGTCCACCTCAGTACCTGGCAGCACTCAAAGTCACCTCTTCAAAGGAGACATGGAAATGAAACCTGCATGATGGTGTGCCAGCCATGGGGAACTGGAGAAGATGTTCCAGGGAAAGGGAAGTTCCTTTGCACATGCAAAGGCTGGGACCCACACTGGAAGAGCGACTTCCCTTAGGACTTCACATCTCACCCTAGTCCATCTGTTCTTTGAGCCTGGAATATGTTTTTTCCTTTTGTTAAAAATGTTCTGGGGTGGGGGGATTAAGGAGAATGATGGAAAGGTGTGTATTTAACTAAGATATATTGTAAGCACTTTTGTAAATGTCACAATGTACCCCCAGTACAATAATAAAATAAAAATTTTAAAAACAGAAAAAAAAAGTTCTTGGTAGCTGAGACCAGGAGGATCACAGTTCTAGGACAGCCCAGGCAAAAAAGTTTATAAGACCCCATTTCAATGGAAAAAAAGATGGGCGTGGTGGTAAACACCCATCTTCCCAGTTAAGGCGGAAGCTTAAAATAGGAGGGTTACAGTCCAGCCCAGCCTGGGCAAAAAGCAAGACTCTATGTCCAAAGTAACCACAGCAAAAAGGGCTGGAGGTGTGGCTCAAGCAGTAGAGTGCCTGCACAGCAAGCACAAAGCCCTGAGTTCAAATCCCAGCACCACATACACGCACACACAAGAATGTTCTTAGGGACTAAGGATATAGCTCAGTGGTTAAGTGTTTGCCTAGCATGCACAAGGCCCTGGGTTCAAACCCTAGCACCACAAAAAAAAAAAAAAAAGAAGAAGAAGAATGTTCTTGCTCTCATTCCCATGGTCATCAGCTTCTCACCCTTCAGGACCCCATTCTGCATCATGTCCCTCTGCTAGGACCCCAGGCATTCCATACTTCAGTCCCTTCAGTTGTCACACTCCTCATCCCCCATGAGACTCTAAGCTCCTTAAAGTCAATATCCATGTCTCGACTAAGATGTGTTTATTATGTAGTCAAGACATGTCTCGACTTTATTTAAAGTGCCTGGTGCAAAAACACATAGTCGGTGCTTCATTAATGTTTGTGGCCTGTGTAAAAGAAAGAAAACAAGACTTGGCCTTAGACGTTCGTCTGATTCACAAACACCGCCTCCTCCTCTCTTCCATGCTGCTCCCTTGCACTTCACATTGAAGGAAGGTAGTAAAACTCGCCCAAATAGGAGGCTTTAGAAGAAGAATGGGAGCCCAACAAGACATTGGAGAAAAGCCATGCCCAAGAGGATGCAAAGTTGGATCCTGAAAAAAAACATGTGGGGCTGTAACTCCATACCTGTAATGCCAGCACTCAGGAGGTGAAGACAGGAGGATTGAGAATTCGAGGTCAGTCAGGGCTACATAAAGAGACCTTGTCTTAAAAAAAAAAAAAAAAGAAAAGAAAGGAAGGGAGGGAAGAGAGAGAAGAAAAAAGTATAAAAGAAGGAAACATGTAGAGAGAAGCCTAAGGGTGGATTTCTTCATCATCCAGCATTTGCTGAGCTGCCTGGATGATTTGCTGAGCAGTTATTTCACTGGACCCTGGCTCCTGGCGACAGGGCAGTAACTCCTGATTAGAGTTTGCTGACTCCATGCCAGGATTCTCCCAAGAAATTTATGCCTCTTGACTGTCTGAATCCTCACAATGATTGCATGCAGTAAATCTAATCCCTGTGGGATGGGTAAGGATGCAGAGACAGAGAGAGGGCACAGTAACTTGTGCCAAGTTCACAGCCAAGAAGTGAATGATCTGGGTACCTGGCCAGGCTGTCTGACCCCACACCTTGTACTGTGCTGCCTCCGTGGAGGAACACGAGTTCCTGGCTACCAGTGAATCTGCATTCTGCAGAGATAGATAAAAAGTAAGCAAACGCACGAGAATTTCAGAGAGCGACAGGTGTAATAAAGAACAGCATCGGGGTGGAGCAGACGGTGAGGCCTGGGACCACTCTGAATTGTGAGCCATGGATGGTCTGTCTTTGAAGGGGACAGTTGAACTGAAACTTGAATGATGAGGAGGAGCAGGCATAGGGAACAGCAAATGCAAAGGCTATGACAACGCTGGAAGAGGTTCCTTAAGATTTCATGTTTCCCCTTAATAGTGAAGGTATTCTGTGGTTGCCATGGGGGTCACTGCTTTTTTTCTGATTATAGACCCTCCCTAGCTGAATGGGGGAAAGCTCTGTGTGACCCCAAAAGCTGACTGGTCCCTCAGATGCCCTGGAGGACAGTGGTTTGGGTCCAAGATGTCTTGTCACCAAACTGGGCAGACTCACATTTTCTTTGAAGCTGTGGTTCTCGGAGCATTCAGAGTCATCCTGCCAAATATTTGTGGAGTTTTCTCGTGTCTGCCAAGTTCCCCGAGCCAAGCAGTGTCTGTAGGCCCTTCCTGAGCTCTCTGGAAGTAAACAAAGCTCTAGAGGAAAGGTCAGAACACACAGCCCATTCCCTGAGATGCTGGAAGGTCCTGGCCCTGGCCACAAAGCTGTGGAAAATCCCAGGGAAAAGGGATTTTCGTTTCCCCCTTTAGGGGCTCATTAGCATCCCTACTGTTTATTTGGGATGGAAAAAAAAACACGGAAGCCTCTATATTTCGTAACAAACCATGACCCACTAATGTTTGATGTGTTTATCTGATGTCTCTGGAGTTAGAACAGTCCCCATGACTCAGAAATGTTATAACTCCTATAAGGTTCAGCCCAGCTGGGAGATGCTGACCTGGGCTCCCGCACTTGCTCAGTGGGGCATCTATTTCCAATGCCCAAGAGGGAGCACTGGGAAGAAGAGAAAGCAATTGGGTACAAGGCAGATAGACCTTGGACTGCAAACTGGTGGGCCACCTACTAATGAGTTGGTGTCCTGGGCCCAGCCCTCCCATTCTCCAAGGTGGCTAGTTTCCTCATCAGGAACTTGGGACAGTAATGGTGCTCACCGTCTTTGATTGGAGGGAGGATTAAATGAAAGAGTAGGTGTGCAACTGATGGATAAATCACTCTGCCTATGCTGAATGCTATTGGGACTTAATCACTCCTACCCAGGAACCCTTTCCAGAAAATCCTCCCTTCTGGGAATCCTTCCAAGGATTGGGTATGCAAATGAGGACTGGAAATTTAGTGGAGCTTCCTGGTTCACACCCTGCATATCATAGACCAACAGTAGCTATTTTCTGGATTTAATTAACGGGTACCCACATAGTATAACCACCTGTCCAGCCAACATCTTTATAAGGTATTGAATAGTCATCTCAAGCAATCTGCCCCAAACCAACCTCTTCATCTTCTTCTTCAAATCTGCTCCACTCATATTTTCCTACCTCAGTGGTTGGCAAGCCCACCCTGCAGTCCTCTGGCTCCAAATCTTAGAGCCATCCTCGCCATCTCTCATGACCCTCACTCACCAGCTCCACTGGTGAATCAACTCTACTTTCAAATATATCCAAAATCTGACCAGCACTTTCCACTTGTTCCCCTCTGATCGAAACCACTATATCTTCCCTGGATTATTGCAACCTCCTCAGAGAATCTGGACCTCACGTCTATGGGTTGCTTAGCTTATCAGCAAGATAAATACAATTCTAGTGTCACCTTCTGCTTGAAATCTACCGAGGGTCTTCTGAGGGTAAGTCCAGGTCTTTTCATGACCTTCCACAAAGTCTGGTAAGACCTAGCCCCCATATCTCTCTGCCCTAACCTCTTGTTGCTTGTTTCTTCCCCTTTGCACCAGCCACATTTGCCCCTTTCTATTCTTGGAATAGACCAGGCAGGCATGCTCCCCACGGTTATGTGCACTCTCCTGAACACAGCTCCTTATTGCCTAAAGCCTTTGCTTCTCTAAGTCTTCACTGAAACATCACCTTGTCATTGAAGCCTTCCCTGCTACAAAATTTACAATCATGCCTCACTCCCCCATTCCTTCCAGCCCTTCCCCTACTCTATCTTATCTAAAATACATCACATTGATCTTACAAATGATGCTTATTGATTATTGTCTGTCTTCCTCGCTAGAATGTGAGCCCCAGAAGGAGAAGAATTTGTCTCTGTTTAGGTCATTAATACATCCCAAGCACTTAAGCATCATGCCTGGCACACTCTAGGTGCTTTATAAATGTTGGTTGAATGAATGAATGGTAGTAATGTCACCTGACACTAATGTTGTCCATTTGTCACAATGCTCTGTGCTGAGAATGTTAAAATGAATGGGCACAACCCAAAGTCTATCCAGGAAAGTGCAAATAAAAAGTGGCATAAACTATTATAAATGTTAAGACAGCAACTGCAAGAGACCTCAGGAAGGCTAGGTCCCTTGCATTGTGGGGAGAAGCTGAAGAAAATTCCCACCAGCATGCAAGATTTGTGGTGAGAAATAAAGTTGGGTTTTTAGGGAGCAAGGTCCACTGAGCTTTCAGGGAGCATTCAGGACAGAAGAGTGAGCAAAGGGATGGGGTGGCAATAGCTGGGCAGGTGGAGGAAGCTTGCAGTTGTTCATTTGGCTGGAGTGGAGGGAAAAGGGGAGGTGTGAGAGAATGCTGGCCAGGTGGCAGAAGGTCATGCATGCCATGTGCAGGTGTTGTGATATGAGCCCACACAACCCGACTGGCATTTCAGAAAGCCTTGTGGAGAGGTTGGAAGGGATCAGATCTGGGGCCAGGGACAATGAGGAGATTAGGATGTAGCATAGAGGGCACAGGTGAACCCCACCAAGGCAGAAGCAGCAGGAAACAGAAGACAGAAGGGGCCACAGGACTCAGATATCAACTAGATCCTGGGAGGGTTTGCATGGGGCCGGGTAGAGGGTATGGCCATTCCTGAGCAGGAGAATAGTGGAAGGGAAGGAGTCTGTTTCATCTTCTCTGCTTTCTGCTTTTCTCTGTCCCCAACTTTCTACTCCATCTGACACCAAATCTTAACCATTCTACCTCCAATATTTTTCCTTAATCTCCTTTGACCTTTCCCCTTCCAACTGACTTCTTGTCTCTACCTGGATTCAAGTACACATAAGTTTTTTTCTGGACCACTGCAGTAGCTTTCAGATTCACCTTCCTGATTCCCCTCTATTCCTCAGTCCAACAGTCACCAGCTGTCAATGTCGTCTTCCCAAACTATACATCTTTTACATCCTTCTCATGTCTCATTTATTCCTCAAAATTTATCTTTAGAGTTAGCTGTTATTCACTTCCTATCTCAGACAAGGAAACCTCAGTTTAGGTGACTTGCCTCGAGTCCCAAAATGTAAAATAGAGGGAATGAGTCTAACTCTGATCTTTTGACTCTGTATCCAGTGCTCTTTCCACCTCATTGAGCTGGCTCCCATGGGAACTATTCACCAGGACATCTCTGGTCCAGAATGTTCTCTAGTTCCATCTCTCCCACCTTCCCAAACCTTCTCAGAAACTCACTCACCTTGTCTTACCTGGAAAATCATAACTGCTTGTTTCCTGAGAATAGTTTTAACTGTCCTTATATTTACTCATGGTAATTCTAACCAGTAGTTGATTCTCTCCCCTTCCATAATAAAATGATAAAGAGATCAGGTGGTAGGATATTATTCTGGGTTCCTAAGTAATATTCACTTCCTTTACAGGATTAGGGTAAACTAGATTAAATTCTTCACCCAAGTTCCATGGGGATTAAAAGAACCAATTCAATGGTTCCTCCTTCCAAAGCTGATAGAAAGGAAGGTTTAAAGTCCTTTTCCCCCACCTGACAAGCTACAAGTGGCATGGGTGTGAGCTCCCCAGTCATTCTCTCCCACCTCTTTTTCCTTTCCACTACTGTGACCATTTTTAAGCCTCACTGTAACCAACTCCTGTGGTAGCCATGTCTGGATTTATAATCTACAAAGTTGGAAGAACTATAGTTTAAATGGAACCACCAAGAGCGGAAGGATTACAGGAAAACAAGAGGAGAAGAAGGATGATGCAATACTGAGAGCTGAGAAAGAGACTTTTGTGGGAGAGGGGGGCTTGAGAAGAGTACCTGGTTGGAGATCTCCCTCTAAGTATCCCGCCACTGGCCTCCCAGGAGGAACTGTTGGAAATTGGTAAAAACAAATTTATTACCTTCATTCCACCAAGGTAAGTATGAAGGGCAGGGAACAGAGACATTTCCAGGAGAAGAATGAGGCCAGCACACATATCGATCGAATGTTCCATTACAAAATATGCCTATGGGGAGAAGAGAGGGCAGAACAAACATCAGTGTTGGAGCTTGGGGTCCTCTGATATAAGCAGAGGGACCCAGGAAACCAGAGCCTACCCTCTTTCCTTCAAAAGCTGCTGTAACCTTTGCAGGAACCAGCACAGATATCCCTCCCTCTAGATCAGTCAAAGATGAGGAATGATTTGGGATGCAGCCCCAAAAATTGTGCCTGTCACCCAACTTGACCTCCAGTCAATTAATGCAATGTACATATCATGTTGATCTTGCTTTATATTATATGAACTGAACTCTCACAGAAACTCACGGTCAGAAGGACATTCGGAGGTCCAGGCAGTGCCTTGTGGTCCATAATTAACTAAGTAATTAACAAGCTTTCACCAATTAGATCCTAGAACACGCTTACTGTGAAATGTGCAAAATGGCCATTGGATCTAAGGGGATCTGTGGAGTCCAGGTTCTTGGTCACAAATGCATCACACAATGTAGTAATTTGAGTTCTATGTATTGAAATCTCCATATGAAATACTAATCAATGATCACTTCATCACAAGCTTTGGACAGTCTCAAACTCAAGGGATGGTTAATAGCTCTGTGTTTGGCAATGGAAGCTACAAACTTAGAACTCAGTCTGATAGGCATCCCAGAATTAAATGGAGGCGATTTATGCTGGGTCTCAAACTTCCATATTGCTAGCCTCTGGATTCCTAGAAGCCCCTCCTCTTCCACCCATCTGTTCCCTATTAGGCTAAAATTCAGGGGCTGCTCGAGGAGAATAGCCAAGTCACTTGCATTGGAACTTTGCAGACACAGGCCTCCCAGGTTATGAGCTGACTTGGGGCACTTTGCTGACCTGGTGTCAGGTGTCAGTACTTGGTCTGTGTGAGGCCATACTCCTCTGATACTCCTTTGGCTAAGCTGCTCACAGCATGGCTCAGAGATAGATATATAATATATAAAGACCTGCCCTACTTTGACCTCAGAAACAGTGCTTCCCCAAGTGAGAAGTGGTTCTTTGTAGTTGATATGAAGCTTAATCGCCACCTTCCTGAGCCAGATGGGTCTTCAGAGGCTGCTGGGAATGGCTTGAAGGTGGTTCTGGCTCTGGGTCAAGAAAGCAAAAAAGTTGGAAGCCTCTGTCACCTCTAGGCCCCTGAGTAAAATGACTGCAAAGGCACCAGGAAATAAGGAAGAGGCAGCCTGCCTTCATCCATAGTCCCTGGTGCTCAGAAGCAACAAGCCAAGGCACTTTATCTCTTTAAGGTGGGCACAGTACACATGGAATCACCCAAAGCGTCAGCAGATGGACAGGTAAGGCTGTGGACTGACCAAACTATTATACATTTTCTGGAATGCTCTAACCTTAACACAGACTTGGATAAGGGAAATGTTATTGCTCTGGTCCAGCTAATAACCTGGGAGATGGGAACCCCCAACTCACCTTCTAACTTCCCAGGTCAACTTACAATAGTTACTCAAGTCAGATGCCAAGTGTGTTGTGATGGATGGCTTTTATCAAATATGGCCACACACATGAATCTCCCACCTCATTTTATCTTATAGTTTAAGTGGGAGGGGGGTCTGTGTTCCCCTTGAACCTGCATAGACCTTTGTAACTGTCTCATCCAATTGAACATGGCAGAAATGATACGTGACTTCCAAGGCCAGGTTACAAAAGGCAATGTGACTGGCAGGTCAGCTAACCCTTAGGAACCCCAGTAATGAAGCCAGTGCATGTAGAGAGGCCAGGTGAAGAAGTTCTGGATACCAGTCACCACTTGACTCTCACTGAGCACCAACATCAACTGGCAGACAGGGTTATGAATGTGCCTTCAGGACATTCCTGCTCCCAGCCTTTGAGTCTTCCAACTAAACCCCAGACACTGCAGAGCAGAGGCAAGTCATGCCCAATGTGCTGTCTCAATTCTTGACCCATAGGAATTGTGAGAAATAATAAATGATGATCACTGTTTTAAGTCACTAAGGTTGGGGGCAACTTGTTACACAGCCACAGATAACCTATACATGTGCTTACCAGAAGGCTCCTTGAGTAAGTCTCTCAGACACTTCTCCTTGTACTGAGCCCACTTCCGAGTTGTCTCCTCTAGGAGAGATCCTGTAACCTGAGCAGACAAAGATATGATCACCCTCAAGTAGCTGCAAGCTCAGATGTGACCTTCTTAGCACACACCATGACTCTCAATCTTTCCCACTTGCAGTGCCCATAAGGGCATGTAGCAAGACACAGAAATTCTTTGACATCTTACATTCTATCTTAAAAATGTGTATGGAATTTATATTCAACACATAATCTAATCATAGTGGTTTTGATCAAAATCTGAAAATCTTTTTTTCAAAATCTTTAAGTGAGGTTGACATTTCAAGAGAATGCAATGCATTTATCCTAACCTTCACACCCTCCCACACACTCACACAGTTAGTTGCATGCTCCTAAGACTATGCCAATCCTGGAGAGAGACTCATCACCTGGGAGAAGCTTAACAATGCACCTTCCAAGTGCTGTGTCCAGAGTCAAATTCACTCAGCAGGCAAATGCTAAACTGCTGTACCACAGTCTTGAGACGTGGTTCTTTCTGACACTGACTATCCTGTCCCATAGAACCTGGGAATGCAACTCTCACATTTGGGGCTTTTGCAGGTAACAGAGTTTCTAACAGCTGTCTCACAGTGTACTTGTACCAATTCTTTTGTTTTGGTGGGGGTGGCAGTCTCGGGGTTTGAACTTGGGCCTTTGCAGTTGCTAGACAGGTGCTCTTCCACTTAATCCATGTTTTCAGACCTTTTTGCTCTGTTTATTTTTGGAGAGAGGGTCTCATGATTTGCTTAGGCAGCACAATCCTCCTGACATAGCTGGGATGATAGCTGTGTGCTACCATGCTCAGTTTTTTGGTTTTTTTCTGTTGAGTGATGAGGCCTCACAAATTTTTTTGCCTGCGCTGGCCTGGAACCACAGTTTTCCTGATCTCAGTCTCCCAAGTTGCTAGGATTGCAGGTGTGAGCCACTATACCCTGCTTTTTTTGATTTTAAAAATGGTCTTTCTCTTGCACAGTTCAGTTGACTCGTTTATTTGTAACATCCATTGTGCGCTAGCCTGTGTTAAGGAGGAATTGAAGGGGTACAGAGATGGGCATGTCTCTTGCCCTAAAAAAGGATTTAGAATCTGCTAAAGGTAAAACAACTAGATAATCAGCTGACATCCAAAGTCCAGCAACATTCTACACACTCCCCTTTCCCTCACATCCCTATTGCTCCTTCCCTATGTGGCTCTGCCCTTGACTTTGAGGTTTCGTCTCCTCTTACAGGGGCAACAAGCTCAAATGCTGTCATGGGTCATGTAGATAACCAAAAGAATGGGTAAGACAGGCATGATGATAGAGAATGGAGGAACCTACAGGAAACCAGGGAGATACTCCACCTAAAGGTATTCAAATTTGATTACACGCAAGCAGGCTCCAAATAACAGCTACTTATCTATGAGCCACTGATGGCCTGGTTTTGCCTTCTGAGTAATCAGTCCAATTTCCCCTCTCCCTCTTCTGCCCAGCATGTGCCCCTAGCACCATGGCAGCCCACTACAGGGTCTCTTGTTACTTCCTTTGCATCTCTCTCAGAGAATCACACAGCCAATTTCTTTGAAAAACAGCTTGTGTGGTCATCATCAGCCTAGAGGTTCCCAACATTTTTCAGTTCATGGCACCCTTACTATCTCAGTACTTTTCCAAAACACTCCTAGACCAAAAGATATATCTAAAGTCCCATGTATTAAGTAAATAGGTCTAAGCAGTTAATAAATATTTATGTCTTAACAACTTAATGACTATTGGGCATTGCACAACTTCTCAAGAATCAGATTGGATACCACCACCTTCATTTCCTGTTCAGTACTTGCAGTCAGCCCAGTTTTTCAAAGATACCATATCTTTAAAAGGAATGGAGAATGAGCTCACATTAAAACCACAAATGCCTTAAACTAGTAGTTTGCACAGTGTCAGGCAAATGCCAGGCATCACTGTGCTCTCCTCAAAAAATTAAAATACCTCAGACAACCCCTGTGAGTTCACAGTGGTGCCCTGGGACACCTTAGCACACAATTTGGGAACTATGGGAGTAGCCAATAAGGAGCAAAACGACGATACAGCAATTGGCATTTGTTCCTTAGTTTCAGTTTGCAATGAGCTTTAAATCTCTCTACTAATAATATCCCTTACTGAGTTATGGCCCAAGAGGCAACAAGTGAGTTCATCAGCATATTGTTTCAAGAAAGAAATATCCTAATGGGATATGGTATGGTAATGACTCATACAATTTTTTTTAAACAAAGTCAGCAGATGAGTTAACAATCAAATAGTAAGTTTCCAGAATCCTCCCAGTCATCAAAGTTAGACCCTTCCTTGCTTAAATACAGAGCTATTTATGCCCTCCAAGACTTCACTGGGACTTATATAAAGAAGAGCGAGTAAAATCCATCTCTAAATTAACATTTCCCACTTGTCCTTGCTCCTTGCCATGACTAATAGCCATGGTTAAACGCAGAAAAACAAACTGAAGTCATAAACTGCTGAATTTGGTCAGCCAAGGTTGCTGGACAGTCTCAGGCCATCTTCCTAGGTACTTGTCCTGAGGACATCAGAAACACTTGGTCCATCCAAGTTCAATCACAGCTAAAGTAACAAGGGAAGATGTTCTTTCTAACTGGAAAAGTCCAGCTTGACCTTGATTCCTCCTTCCCTTGCTTGGGCAACCAGCATCCATGACTAACTTGGCTGAGAAGAGATTAAGAAAAAGAGGGAAAAAACAAAACTTTTCTGTCGACTCTATTAAGTAAATTTGTTTTTTTTTTTTTTTTGGTAAAGAATGAATACATTTCTCTGTAGATAAAATAGAAATCACAGATAACCAAAAAGGGGAGAAAAAGAAACCGAAATCTCATTACCCAGAAATCCCCATCTGCAGCCAGACCTCTGCACACACACATACAAATCATTTCTCTCCTTCTCCTTTTATGTTTTATTCTAACCATAAAGGAAACCATATCACTTTGTAGTTTTATTTTTCACTTAGAAATAATATTGTAAATATCTCCATTGCAAGAAATACATAATAAATAAAACACCCCTTAATAACTGCATACTATTCAATGAACAAAGAGATAGGACTTAGTTTTAAGTCCTCCAGCATCAGACATCTAAGTTGTTTTCAGATGGTTGCTAGCATAAAAGGTGCTGTGATAAAAATCCTCGTGGCTAAACATTTGAGATAGGTCTTTATTTTCTTAGGAGAAATTCTGTGAATTAGAATTCCTGGTTTTTGATAATATACTGCCAAGATGCTTATCCTTGCCCCCACACAATATTTTTAATTTAAAACTATGCATCCTTTACAGTTCAACCAGCAATATATGAGGTAAATTCATTTCTCCCCAACTTTGTGGGGTTTGATGCCAAAGCACTACTAAGTAACATAAATGAGCAAATGGATGCATGTAAGCTAGCACTATTTCCCCAGTTTGGATTTAGACACTAAACTATCCCTGAGAATTTCTCATTAAGTGAACTTTATGTACACTTCCTGCCAGCAGACACGCCATGGTCATTTATATTGCAGGGAAAGCATCCATGAGCAAAGTTCTTCATGAACATCTATGCAAAGCCTTGTAATCTAAACATCTGGAGAAGAGTAAGAGGTTGGAGATGGAGAACCAAGGGGAAGGTCATTGGTCTCAAAGTCTCATGGTGGAAGACAGACAGTGCCAAGAGCCCTGTATGCACAGACCGGGTGGCAGTGGGTGAGGGGACCTCCCAGCAGATACATTATTGATTAAAGAAATACCAGAGTGAGAGCGCCAAGGCATGGCTTTGTCAGCATGGTAAGCCAGTCTGAGGCTCTGCAGATGCCACAGTTATTATATATAAATAGTCATATGTCAGCAGCTCCTAAGAGCACTAGAGAAGACAGAACACAGGACTTCAACTCGTGGGGGAGATGAGATGGCGCCCCTGCTCATGAGCTGTGATGGAAGGCAATCGTGTGACTCCTCTAAAGCTTACTTTCCCCATCTATAAAGTGGGTACAGTGATAGTACTCTTCTCAGGGGTTATTTGTGAGCATTAAACAAGATAATGTGTGACAAAGTGTTATGTATCAATATGTCAAGTGCTGTAGCAGAGCCTGGCTAGGATAGGCAATCCTGACTTGTTTGTGAGTGGGAGTTAAAGAAAATGAGGCAATGAGCTGGAAACATTTGGTTTTCATGTGAGATATCCAGAGAGTAGAAGCAAGGGTGACAGTGCTCTATCAACTCTCCCAACACTGGCTCCACCACTAACAATGGAAGTCCTAGGGTCAAAAGCAGATCTGAGCCACCTGTCCATCAGAGATGTTCTGGTCACCCAAGTGAGAGTCAGCCACCATGGCAAGAATTCCTTAAGACCAAACCAGGCATGGTAGTAACCACCTGCAATCCCAGCTATGTGGGAGACAGAAGTAGGAGAATCTTGAGCCAAGGTTAATCCCAGGTGAAAGCACAAGACCCTACCTGAAAAATAAACTAAATCTCAAAGGTCTGGGTATGTGGCTCAAGTAGAAGAGTGCTTTCCAAGCAAGTGCAAGATCCTGAGTTCAACCCCCAACACTGCCAAAAAAAAAAATTCCTCGAGAGCACTGAGGTACACACGAGGGCTTGAAGGTAGCCTGGGGATGACAGAGAGTTCTCCTCCTGGTGCAGACAGAAATCCTGGAAAAGGGAACTTACAAGAGATCAGGCACCTCAGACCTCCCTCTCTGGTAGCAGGGGGATTTTGAATTTCAAACAGGGACTAACTCTCACCAAGGAGAAAGGAGGAAGAGGAACACTCCACCCCTGGGTGCTTTCTTTACTTAGATGAGTGGCACTGTGGTTCCTTCACACCACCATATAAAACTGGAACCTTGGAAAAGAAAGGGGCAAAGGTTCAATCTCCTTGGGTAAAAACAAGGTAAGCCTATAAGGGACACTTAAATATATTGTAACACAAGACCTCAACTCCCTGCCAAGGATCTACATTTACTGATGTAGGAAAATGCTGTTTCAGCTCCCTGGACTCAGTTCCTCATCTGTAAAATGGAATTAACAAAAGACCCTCCCCTCACGGGGCTGCTGAGAACATGAAATGAAGCAGCATACGGGGGACACCCAGCATGGGACCCAATGCCAGTTTAGGTATCATTGTATTCATGTTGTTAGTGTGTTTTGTTATTAAAAATAGGTTACAAAATAATAATTATAGCATGATCTTATGTTTATTGTTTTAAGTTGTATATAAATGTATGGTAGAAAAATGTCTGGAAGTATAAGCCCCTATAGGTGAACGAGGGTACTCTCTGGCTGGTGGAATTACAGTGATTTGTAGCTTATATTTATACTTTAGATTTATTAGGTCTTTTTTTTTTTAACATTGAGCATTCTATGTTTTGTAGTAAGTGGAAAGAAAGGAAGGAAGAAAGAAAGAACTGAGGGAGGGAAGGAAGGAAAGAAAGAGGGAGGGAGGAAGGAAGGGAGGAAGGAAGGAAGGAAGGAAGAGAAGGAAGGAAGGAAAGAAGAGAAGGAAGGAAGGGAGGAAAGGAGAGAGTGAAGGAATAGAAAACTATCCATTCAGCATAAACTCGGAAACCTGAGAAATGTTACAGCCACACTGGAGGATACAAGCAATTTTAAATGCTAGAGTTCTGCAGACATGAGGAAATGCTTACGATATGATGTAAAGGGAAAATCAGGATGCAAAATATTTTATGCTGCATCATTTCAGTTGCGTAAAAAAATGCATAGGAAAAGGATTTAGGAAAAATCTGCTAAAATATAAACAACGATGACCTCTGACTGCTAAATTTATAGCTGATCATCATTTTCTTAATACTGTTCTATTTTCCAAATCGTCTACAAGGGGCTTCTATAATCAGAAAATATGCACAACTGATCATATTAGCAATAATAAGAAGAAAGAAGTCTCTTACTTGCTTGATGGAACCCAACAGCACCAGGGCGAAGAAGGGGCTCCCAGGGACCCAGAGTGAGCGCTTCTTGTGGGAGGGGTGGGGACCCGTCCCCCAGGCAAGCCTGCCGCCCATGGGCAGTGCCGGCACCCCGAGCAGGGGCCTCTCGCTGCTTCTCCCAGGCGCTGCCAGGCTTGGCTGGGGCCTTGTCCTCCTGTCACCCTTTCAAAAGTGTGGGCACATGCCTCCAGCAGTCCACGATGTACCGCAGGCAGCTTCCTTACGCATTCCTCCTTGTCCAGAGAGGAAGTGTTTGCAAAAGTCCTCTGCACGCTGCGCAAGTGTCTGAATGGTCTTGAGTGATCTACCAAATCTCCAAGTTTCTCATCCCCCGCCCGGCCCCCCCCAAAAGCAGGGAGATTTTTCCCAGACCTTCCCCACGTCGGCTGAGTTCCCTAGGACTTCCTAAACAGGCCCAGAAAAAAAAAAAAAAAAAGCAAGGCAGTCAGTGGCTTCTATCCCTGAGGCTTCTGATCCATGCACAGGGCACAGGGCCTAGCTGGGATGGGCTGGGGTACCAGCAGTTGGCAGGAGAGGATGGATGGGCCTGGAGCCAAATCAGAAATGGTGTCTTTGTGACTGGGGTGGGACCAGTCACAGAGGCAGGGCCATCTCTGTGCCCTGATTGTGGCAAGAAAACAGGAAGGACAGTTGTCCAGCCCCGGGAGAGTATCTCCTGACCCAGGTTCTCAAGCAAAAACCCAACCAGGGGATCAGGTTTAGGTCTACACTGTAGCAAAACAATGAGTGGAAAAATCCAACCTTCAGTTGAATGCCCACTTGTTCTGAACACAACATTGTGTTCTGAACACAGTATCACTCAGCCCGCCTGGCAGATCCTTTTATGGAATTCATGACCCATTACTTACCAACCAACACATTCGTACCTTCTCACCCCAAGTCACATTTGTGAAGTCTTTTCATCCACTATCCTATTTCATTTAAGAGCACCCTTGAGAGTATCCTTAATTCTCCATTTGGCACCTGAGAAACATCATGGTTCAGAGAGGTGAGGTTGATTGTCCAAAGTCACACAGCAAGTTAATGACAGAGCCAGGATAGCTAGGTCACTATTAGGATTAACAGTGAGAACAGCCATGTTAGGACCAAACCCCTTCCCCCCTTGCAGGTGGCTTGCTGGCAAATCCCCACCCAACCCCAAAGACTGACAAAGGGACAGTTGTTAACCTTTATCTCCAGGTGGGTACCAAGGACAGTTGAGCAGACAGTCACCTAACCACAGCTTATCTTCCTTCGTTGCCCAGCAACAGTATTCCTTAGTGACCTTCTTGGTACTTTTCCACTAGCCTCCTATATCTACCCCAAGCCTGTGCCTGGCAGGGGGCTCTAGGTCTCTTGCTGGAGACCCCTCTGCAGGCTGTCTTTCCTGAATAAAGCCTGTGCTGGTGTTGAGCTGCCTCCCGTCCTTCCTTCTGTGCCTCTCTTCAGTCTAACATATGGTGCCAAAATCCGGGACGGATATGTAGATTCAACTCTCAACTCTCTCCTCTGGCAACCTGGAAAGCGGTGAACAGCAGTTACTCTTCCCAGGTTAACTCCCAGACTCTGAGCAGAGACCAGAGTTGTCCTCCCCAGTCCCCTGCTGCCTCTCCCACCCTTTCCTTCCTTTCCTTTCTTTGATGGCTCCATCAGGAACCACGCCCCATCACTGGACTCTCCATTCAACACCCGTCTTCAATTTTAGTGAGTTTTCCCTTTTCCAGGTTTCTTTCTCACTGCCTGTCCTACTGTGGACCACAGCAAAAGCCCCGACCAGGAAAGAAACTCCTTCCATCTGCTAACTGGGTGGACTCACTTGTTGATTTCTGGGGACGCTTGGAAGATACACAGGTGCACTGCTTCAAAGGCATGTCATAGACTATCAGTCAGCAGTGAAGGCATACCTGCTAGCTGATCATGTGTCCTAACCCTGTAGGACCACTGTGAGAAATTGCTCACCACCTTTCCCATAAAAATGGGCCAAAAATCATCCAAGTCCCCAAGGGACAGTCCACTGGGTTGTCTCCTCCAAAACTTTTAGGCCCTGGGTCTCAAGGAGGCAATTAAACCCAAAAGGCTAATTTTCTACTATAACAAGTTCTGGCCCCAATATAAATTGGACAATGATAACCATTGGGCCTGAACAAGACACTTTTGATTTCCAAATTCAATGTGATCTCAAAAACTTTCTCCAATGCTTTGACAAAGTTCTGAGGTCCAATACATACAGGCCTTCACTTATCTTTGCTCAAAACCTTTCCTCTGTCAGTCTTGTAATTCCTTCCAGATCCTCCTAAACAAAAAGCCTTCTAACATCAAATCACCAAATAAGCTTTCCCCTAAACAGTCTTTCACTGATTTTGACCCTGCAGAGGAGGCTCTATTAGCCAGCCTCCCAGCCTACTCTCCTTCCTCCAGCCGAGATCCCTTCTACTCCTCCAACCTGTCTTCAGCCTCCCATCCCTCTCTTCCCTCCCACACATGCGATCCCATAACCCTTCTGTACCTGCCTCTTCTTCAGACCCAGTCACCATTCTCCTACTCTGAGAAATGGCAGGGGTAGAAGGCTTTATCCACATTCATGTTCCTTTCTCTTTGCCTGACCTATCACAGATTAAAAAGCACCTCAGTTCCTTTGTGTCAGATCCCACCACCCCTCACAAGGAATTTCTTTATATCACCCAATCCTATAATCTAAACTGGCATGACATATGTTATGCTCTCCTCCACCCTCTCCCCTGAGGATAGGTACCATATCTGGGCAGCCACTCAAGCCCATGCAGACACACTCCACCAACAGGATGCTAACCATAATCCCATCAGAACAGTTGCTGTCCCCAGGGAAGATTCTAATTGGATCAAGCAGGTTTCCCAGAATTTAAGATGAAGGGAACAAATGATAACCTGTCTCTTAGCAGAAATGGACAAGTCTGCTCTAAAAGCAGTCAGCAATAAAAAGATTAAGAAAATTATTCAGGGACCAGACAAAAACCCGTCTGCCTTTTATCACCACTCAACAGAGATGATTAAATACACTCACTTAACTACTAAAACTATCAAAGGTCGATTTTACCTCCACCTTCATTTTAGCTCCCAGTCTGCCCCAGACATTCAAAATTAACTCCAAAACTTAGAGGATAGACTAGAAACATCCTGAGTGGACCTTATAAAGTCTGCCACAAGAATCTTTAACAACAGAAAAAAAAAAAAAAAACTCAGGAGAGATCAGACCAAATCCCTGATGTTGGCAGAGGCTATTCAAAAGGGGCTCCAAAAAAGTCCACATAGTACACTTTGTATTCCCACCATCAAGGAGCAAAAGATTCCCCTGGGACCCTGTTTTAAATGTGACCAACATGACCACTGGACAAAAGCTTGCCCCAACTCCGGGCCGCCACTAGGGTCTTGCCCTCTATGTGGCCAAACAGGGCACTGGAAATCAAACTGTCCACAGCGGGGCCCATCCACCCACCCAAAGACAGCTGGTGCTCACCAGTCAATCACCCCTGACCCAGGACTGGCAAAACTTCTAGGCCTGGCAACAGAAGATTGATGAAACCTGGGAACCACAGCCCCCAACAAGATCATCACTGCCTTGAAACCCAGGGTAACTCTGTCAATATCAGGTAGCCCATCTCTTTCCATATAGACTTACTCAATTTTACCAGAACTTTCCAGACCCCTATTCTCTTCTCCTTTCTCTGCTGTGAGAGTTAATGGCAAGACGTTCATCCCGCTTGTTAATCCCCAGATATGGGACACCTCTTTTCTCATAGTTGCTACCTATGATGCCTATAAAAATTGCTCTTAACTCAAAACCTGTACATCCAGCAAACCCAATACTCCTTGGGAATACAAGGACTACAAGGTCTAAAACCCATCATCTCTCATCTACTCCAGGCAGAGATCCTCAGGCCCACAAACTCCCACCACAGTACCCCATCTTAGCTATAAAAATGGGACCCAACAGTTACCACTTAGTAGCAGATCTTCATCTTAATAACCAGGCAGTGGTCCCCATGCATCCTATCGTCCCCAGCATCTATACCCTTCTCACCGATATTCTACCCACCACTACTCATTTCTCTGTACTGGATCTCAAAGATGCCTTCTTCACCATGCCCTGGATACCTCCATCCAGGATCTGTTTTCCTTCATCTGGACAGATGCCAACACCCATGTTTCCACTGAACTAACCTGGACAGTTCTTCCTCAGAGCTTTTGAGACAGCCCCCAACTATTTGGCCAGGTCTTGGCCAATGACCTCACCTCTCTCTCTCTCTCTCTCACTCCCTCTCCCTCAGCAAACTCTTATAGTTCATAGATGACTTGCTCCTATGTAGCCCATCCTTGGACCTATCCCTCAAACATACTACACAACTCCTCAATTTCCTACATAGCAAGAGATATATAGTCACTCCTTCCAAGGCCCAAATATCAACTTCAAATGTCACTTACCTGGATCTCACCATTACCCCACATTTTAGGGCCATCCCATAATCTCATAAACAGATAATCTAAACTCTACCATGCCCCAACACAAAAAAGGACCTTTTGTCTTTTCCAGGCCTGGTTGGATATTTCCATCTGTGGATTCCCAATTTTGGCCTCCTTGTCAAGCCTCTCTACACAGCATCACAGGGTGCCCTTGAAGAACCCCTAAGCCAAACACAGACCATTCACCAGATTCAAGGAAGCTTTAATAAGGGCTCTAGCACTTGGACTCCCAGACCATTCCTCACCTTTTTGCCTATACCTACACATAAACCAAAACATCGCTTTGGGCCTTCTGTCTCAGGATTATGGCCACATACCCTGACCTGTCACATATCAAAACAATTAGACTCAACCACACAAGAATGGCCCCCTTGCCTAAAGGCCCTGGGGGCAGCAGCCCTCTTAACATCTGAGGCACAAAAATTTACACTAAACCACTATAAAACCATTCTTTCTACCTACAACCTTCAGGAACTCATTAGCCATCAGACTCTCTTAACCCTTCCCCCTACCCAAATTCAACAGCTTCATGCACTCTTTGCCTCAAATCCCCTTATCTCTTTTCAGTGATGCAAGGCCTTTAACCCTACCTCCATTTTCCCAAACCCCACAGCTAGGGAAGAGATTCCCCCCATCTAACCCATTCCTGTCTAGACCTTACAGAATCCCGTGAGCCTATATATGGGCTCCCTTACAAGGTGCCCCCTCCTGGTTTATAGATGGCAGTTCCTTTTAAAGACCCCCAACTGGCAGCAGGATATGCCACTATACATCCCACACTACAAAAACCACTAGAAGCTATGGCCCTTCCCACACACACCAAATCTCAACAGGCAGAATCGACCACCCTGACTAGGGCATTAATTTTAGCCAAAGACAAAAAAAAAAATATATATATATATATATATATATATATATATATATACATACAGATTCAAAATATGCCTATCACATTATACATTCCCATGCCCTCATTTGGCAAGAAAGGGGCTTCCTTACAACCAAGGGAACCCCCACCATTAATAGTCCACAAACCCACCAATTACTGGGGACTTTTAAATTGCCTAGAGAAGTAGCCATCATTCCTTATAAGGGTCACAGATTTCATCTTCCTCAGTAATTCTTGGGTGGACAGAGCAGCCAAGGCTGCCACCCAAAACATTTCACTGCCAAAAGCCCCCACAAAAGGATTACCCCTTACCACCCCTATACTCTCCATTTTTCCCACCTTCACCACCCCTCCCCACCCCCCACTACACAGCAACTGATCTTGCTGCTCTCATCAGGGCAGGGGGCACGCAGACCAATGGATGGTTTTTCCTTGATCACAAGATGGGCATTCCCCATGACACAGAATACGCCATCGTCTCATATCTCCATCGTCTATTTCATTCAGAATACAAGCCCTTAACACATGTGTCACAGGCTCACCTAACCTCCCCCTCTCTAGCTACTGCTCTTAAACAGATCACTCAGTCTTGCCTTATCTTTTTCCCAGGTGTCCCCCCAGGGGAATGTCAGACTCCCACCCTTCCCCATACAACAGGCATGAGGCAGTTTGCCGGGACAGATTGATTTCACCCACATGACCCCCGCCAACTGGCAAACCACGATAGTCATCTTTACAGGTTGACATTCCCCACTCTACAGAAAAGGCTAGAGATTACTAAGGTCCTCTTAATCCATGTCATCCCTCAATTTGGGCTGTCCTCAGCTCTACAGTCAGACAACAGACCTGCTTTCATCTCGGCTGTCACCCAGAAGCTGTCTCAGGCACTTGGCATTAAATGGACCCTCCATATCCCACACAGGCCTCAGTCCTCAGGTAAGGTGGAGAGGGCCAATGCCCTCGTAAGACAGCAACTAACCAAACTATCTCTTGAACTTAAGCTTGCCTGGCCCTCCCTCTTGCCTATACCTCTCACCCACCTCAAACAGTTCAAGTCCCCTTCTTAACCTCCCTACCCTCAAGGGTCAGAACCTGAAAAGCTGTACAGATCATTCCACTCCTGGTTAGCCTAGGAATCTTGGTCTCCCTGGGGACTGGAATAGCAGGAATAACTACTTCTTCGCTATACTTGCAACAGCTCTCAAAAAGTTTCACCAACACCCTAGGTGATCTAAATCAATCCCTCTCCACTCTCCAAAACCAGCTTGACTCCTTGGCAGGAGTAGTCCTCTAAAACTGTCGAGCTCTTGCCCTCCTAAATGCTGAGAGGGGGAGAACACACCTATTCTTACAGGAAGAATGCTTCATTTATGTCAACCAGTCCCAGATCCTTCTTGATGCTGTTAAGAGACTCCAGGAATGTGCTGCCAATCTCTGACAACAAACAACAGAAATCTGGGAACAATGGTCCTCCTGGGCTAAGTGGATGTCATGGGTCTTCCCTCTGCTGGGACACTTTTTTTTTTTTCTCATTCTGCTGACTGTCAGACCTTGTCTCTTTCAAATACTTTCTCCCCTTGTTTCCTAGAGGCTCCAGGCTTTCATCCAGAGCACTACCCAAGAATAGATTAAACTCAATTCTGTTCTTGCAATAGGCCCACTACAGTCATCTAGAGCAAGGAGACTCTGCCAATAGCCCCTGCCCTTAAGAGACCTCAATGCCCCTCCTCAGCAGGAAGTAGCTAGACCAAATTTCATCATCCCTCTCCAAACAAACAAATATACATATATATGTATATGTATATATATATATATGTATATATATATGTATATGTATATGTATATATATATATGGATATATATATATATATGGATATATACATATGCAGGAATGTTAGGGTTAACAGTGAGGACAGCTATGTTAGGACCAAAGCCCTTCCCTTCTTGCAGGTAACTTGCTGGAAACTCCCCACTGGACCCCAAAGACTGACAAAGGGATAGTTGTTAACTTTTATCTCTGGGTTGGTGCCAAGGAAAGTTGAGCAGACAGTCACCTAGCCACAACTTAACTTCCTTGGTTGCCCAACAACAGTATTCCTTAGTGATCTTCCTGGTACTTTCCCACTAGCCTCCTATATCTACTCCAAGCCTGTACGTGGCAATGGGCTCTAGGTCTCTTGCTGAAGACCCCTCCACAGTCTTTCTTTCCTGAATAAAGCCTGTGCTGATGCTGAGTTGCCTCTCTTCAGTCTAACAGTCACCTGACCATAACTACCTGGGATGGTATCTATCTCTTTCTGCTGCCTTGCAGGGTGAGCTTCTACTCTTCATCTCTGTCTGGCCTTACCCCCACCTCTCCCTGGCCAGCTCCCAATATCCTCTTACAACTTTTCCTAGCCTCCCAAATTAGTGACCCAAACTGGAAGGTGTCACCAAGAGGCAAGAACATGTTTCCATTCAGTAGTTTTTCCTTCCTTCCTTCCTTTCCTTTTTTTCCTCCTTCTTTCCTTTTTTTTCCACTTAAATCAAACCATAGCTCATCTTGGTTAACCTATCTGATGGAGTGAATTCTGAACAGCTGGGAAAAACAGGTGGGTGACACTTAATAGAAATTCCTAGAAATCTTAGAGTCCACACAGCTAGATTTCAGACCTTAGTAGTAAAATGCCCAATGTGAGCAAAAAGCCACAAAGTGGACTCATGCAATGATGTGATCCCTGAAATCAATGTAGTCTCTGTAGGCAGAGAGAAGGATGAAGTGACAGGAAGGGAGGAAAGTCCTCAAGTGATGGGGTCTGGTCAGGTGGGCGTGGCTACAAAGCTGTTCTGTAACTTCACATTAAAGACGAGCACCCAGGTTGCATGCTGGGAAAGAAAATACCTGCTTTGTAAGAATATTCTAACTCATCTCTTTGGGCATTTCCTCAAAAGCATTCTTTTTTTCTGAAAGGACATGGGTTGGGGCTGCACATGAATTCCCTGCCCGTTGGGTGGATGCCATCTAGTGACAGAACATGGTAAAGCTTCTTTCCATGGCGGGGCAGCCAATCAGACACAAATGCCCACCATTTGTAAGGCTGGTGAGAACACAGAGCACAGGTCCTCAGGCTTCATCATCAGGAAAGTACAGATGGAGTGAGAGTAACCTAAAGGTCACTCCCCAGGCAGGCTTCCACCTAGGGGTCCACAGGAGCTTTCTTGCATGTACTCAAGAGCCTGCATCTGCATTCTGTCATACAGGTCCTTCCTGCTCTCACGCCAGCCTTTCCTGACTTCAGGCTTATTACATTGCTTGTTTAGCTTTTTAACTTTCTTGGAGTTTCTGCCTTTCGTTTTCCCATCCTCATAGCATTTGTTGTTTTAATTCCTGAGGTCGAAATAAAAGGCAACAAAAGCAAACCCTCTGGGATGTTCCATTTGCCTCCCCAACTCTATCCCAGAGATGGCCACCAAGACAATGTCACACCTTACCTTCCCATGCACCCAAGAAGCTCCTTAAAGATCTACAATATCAGTGTTCCTGCCATTGGTCCCTCTGGTGAGGGCATCAGGGATGACAGTGAGGGCTCTGTCTGCCAGCTTTTGAGACCCAAGGATTTTTGCCCTCCAAATCGATACATACCACACTCCCCATTCTGCACAGTGCTTAGGTTCTGAGGCCTGTAGCTGCCATCTCTCAGTCCCTGGAACAAGCAGCTGTCCTCTGCAGTCCATGTCTCCACAGACTGGGCAAAAAAATAAGGCTGAGTCCTCAGGATTCCTTGTTTCTGAAATTCAACACTGAGGAACCTGCTCAAAGACAAGGGTGGAACAGACTCACCCAGACACCCACTCATGCCCCGGCCCTCATTCAAAACCACCATCCTCTACAACAGCCAAATGATAAAAGCAACCCAAGTATCCATTGATGGTAAATGGATAGGCAAAATGCAATATAATAAACACAATGGAATATTATTCTGCCAGAAAAAGTTTCTGATGCATGTTACAACATGGTGAACCTTGAGGATGTTACGCTACATGAAATAAGTCAGACACAAAAGAACAAATACTGTATGACTCCACTTTTATGAAGTCCCAGAGTAGCCAAATTCACAGAGACAGAAAGGGGAACAATGGCTGCGAGAGGCTGGGAAGAGAGGTTGTAGGGAGTTGTTCTTTAATGGGTATGAAGATTCCATTTTGCAAGATCAGAAGAGTCCTGGAGATAGAGGGCAGATTGCACAGCAGTGTGGATTTTCTTAATGTCACAGAACAATACACTTAGTGGTTAAGATGGTAAATTTTATGTTATGTGCATTTTATCAGAAATTTTTTAAATGACTCAATACCCTCCTGCACATCTCCATCCTCAGGAGGGCTGAGGGCCCGACACTCTTGACTGGACCATGTGACAGTTCTGCCTTTTCAGGCTGCAGTGCTCACACGGATGCAGCACACTGGAGCACTCTCAGGTCCCCCTGGGGACATGAGAAGGACAAGTCAGGATGCCAGATGGCAGGGCTGGACAGTGGACCCTGTGATGCAGTAGGGAGGAGCACCAGCCCCCACTATTCATACTGCCACCACAGAACCTCATTCAGCCATGGACAGAGCCAAGAGGCAGCGGGCCCTGACCCTTCTTCCCATCTGCCTGGCCCTTGCCTTCTCCCTCACTGCTCTGGGTAGTAGCCACTGGTGTGAGGGGACCCGGCGGATGACAAAGCCACTTTGCCAAGACCCGCTGGGAGGGCTGAACTGCATTCACTTCAGCCAGGCCAAAGGCAGCAGTGGCAGGGAGGATGATGGGAACCAGGCTGTCCAGTACATTTGGGAGATGGGAGACGACAAGTTCATCCAGCGCAGGTTCCACGTGGGGCTCTGGCAGTCCTGCGAGGAGAGCCTCAACAGCACAGGTGAGTGCAGCCCACAAGTCCCTGGAATGACAGGTGCAGGGTGGTGGCCATGAGCAGAACTCTGGAGCTGAACTACTTGGGTTTGAATCCCTGCTCTGCCAGTCTGTCTGTGTCTCCATGAGCAAGTCCCTTCACCTCTGAGCCTCCATTTTCTCATCCACAAAATGGGACCCATAGCAGTGCTTATCTCATAAGAGTTAGTGTACAGATTGAAAGACTAGATTTATATGACACACCTGTGACAGTGCCTGACACATTGTGTTTATTAAACATTAGTTTTTGGCATTTGTCATTGTCACCCAGTCCTTAGAGAATCAAAGGGATGCCTCTTAACCATAAGCTGTAGTCCTGATATTTCTCCTGTACCCTTAAGGGTTCTCAGAATGGAAGGGTCTCTTTAAAAAATAGGCTTTTACCATCACTGAATCATGCCTACTACAAGCATGACCCTTAAGAGGGAAGATCTTTATCTCAGGTGATCCTTGAAATAACGCTGCAAAGTGTATATTATTTCCTCAGCTTATAAAAAGGGAAACTGAGGCTCAGAGAGTTTCAATTTGCATAGCGGGTAAGCCCATTTCATCTTCTACCATATTATTCAGCCTCAATTCATCAACATCTTCTGAATTTCTGTTGGTTTGGGGAAGGGAGTGATGAAGAAAGAGAAAAGGGAAGGAAAGGGTTAGTATTTGGAGCACACCTTTCAGACAAGAATGTTTTTACCTCACAAAGAACTGGAAAGAGAGGAATTCAATTCCTCAATATTAGGTAGGCTCACACTTAGGGCCAGGAAAACCCCAGTGGTGGAAAGGGGAGGATTCCTCCACCAGTCCCCACCTTTTTTTTTCTGATCTCAGGCTTATTACATTTCTTGTACAGCTTTTTATTTTTCCAGGAGTTTCTAATTGTCTTTTGTCTTCCCATCCTCATGGCATTTTTCACATTATTCCTAAGGCCTAAGTAAAAGGTGACAAGAACAAACCATCAGAGACACTACATACCCCTGTTTACAATCCCACTCCAAGGGTAGCCACCAAGGAGCAATGCTCAGCATTACCCCCCACACATATCCAGGCCAGAGTGTGATGTTTACCTTAAGCGTGATGCGTACCTAGCAGCAGTGCCAGGAGCTAAGACTACTGGAGGAGTCTCCCAACTCCTCTTTTCTTGGGAACTGTTATCTTTCTATAAGTCCACTCTATCTTAATGGGCAGATACAGGGGGCTCATGATCTTATGTCCTTGATGGTTCCCAAGATAGTACTGGATTTTTTATTTGGAAACTATAGACACCATAAGCATAGGCAAATTGAGGACTTCCACTCCTTTTCTGAGTTCCCATCATGAGGACTACCTGGTTCTATTTCCACACCAGGCAGCAATGGTCACACCAATTATCAAATACTGGTATGAATCAGAATCACCCTGGGAGTTTGGGGAAAATCCAGGTACTGTTCCTTAGTGGTTCCAATTCGATAGGTCTGGGGTGGGATTTAGAAACCTACATTCCTTTTTTAAGTTTTAACCAAGCTAGTATTTACACATAGATAAGAGAACAATTCATTTTGAAAGAATAATCCCTGTCCCTTCCCGTCCATAACTTAGTCCTACCCTTCAGAAGAAACCCCTTTTCACTTACTGGGTTTTTTTCCTGGTATTTGTTTTCATGTTTCCAAAAAACATGCGGCATTGCCTGGTGTTGTCTATCATTTAGGTGTTATCTATTCACTTCCTGATACAATAACTAGGATTTAGCTCTTGCACCACAACATCCCACATAAACTCTGCCATCTTTCTAATCAAGTGACATTGCTGTTTTATTTAAATCAATAAACCAATAATTTATTTTTGACTACATAAATATTGTTCTTTATAGCACTGAAGAGGGTACTGTGATTACATTTATTATTTTGGACAGTTCTTTGCTTTACTTGGAGTTTTTCATTGCCTTTCTTTTCCCATTCTCACAGCATTAGTATTTTTACTCTGTTCAACTCTGTCCTGTCTAAATATGCTCCTCTGGTGATTATGACATGCATGAAAATAAGAGAAGCATGTTCCAGGGCACAGAAAAGCCCATGGGAAAGAAAATAGTCAGCACAGCATGGAACAAATTCACCAACAACCATGTCCATGTCAGGCCCAGGGTTAGGTGAAGAGGAAGATGCAATGGTGAGTGAGCCACAGTGGGAGTGAATGACCAGTGGGAAAGATCCAAGAGACAAAACCAGGAAGAAGCTGATCATGGTGATAATGAAGGCTCATCTGTGGTATAGTGGTGGCAACATGGGTTGTTTATAGTTCTGGGCATGGGGAAGGTCAGTAAGACTGATTTTAATAGATGGAGATAATAGATAGATAAGGGTGATAATGTGCCAGGCATACAGAGCTGATGGAGCTCAGGTCTGGACAGCACAGCTTAGGCACCTGCACTACAACACAAGGCATAGGACCAGGAGAGGCCTTGTTACAGAAAAACATACACATGACTCTTCCATGTCACCTGAGGCAACTTCTCTCCTGCAGCATAAGGTCAATGTTAATTTGGCATGAGGAACTGAACAAGGCAATGTTCCCTAGAATGAAAAGATCTAATTGGAGAAAAATGACAAAACATTGACATTGCTATTTGTAATGTCAGTGGAGGAGGGACCTCAGTAGAAGCTGGACTGAGGACAGAGTTAAAAAATTAGACAGATGGGAGATATTTCCTCAGTAACCAAGGAAGTGGGAGGACCTGAGGAAATAGTAGAACTGGACCTTTGGGGGGACTGGAAGCAGCTGTCAGTTGGCCACCTGTATATTGTGTGGCGTGTGTCTTCCATAGTCACAGAAATATCAGACAGGTAGAGGGGATAAACTGTTCTAAAGACTTGATTTTAAAAGTTTGTTACCCAGTTTGCGGTGTGTGTGTGTGTGTGTGTGTGTGTGTGTATGTGTTTCCTTCTCAGCTTAAAATGAGCTGGACGCATAATTAAGAGACTGTGTGAGGCTCTTCAGTTTCCTTCCCCTAAATGAAGTCCCCCTAGGCACTTCTGCCAACCCACCAGTGTACACACACAGAGACACACACTTTACCTTCACCTGATCACAACACTGAAGGGTTTTTCCTCCATCATCAGGGACCCGTGCACTCTAAGGAAGGCTGGTATTCTTAATGATTCAAGCACAACACAGAGCAAAAGTAAAAGAGGTATTTCTTGACCCCATCTCAATTTATGGACAACTCCATTCTTGATGTAAAGAAGGAAAAAGTCCTTACTAAGTGACTTACTTGTTAAGATTACTAAACATGACTCCACAGAGATGTCTTTCCTGATGCTCTTTGTGAAAATTAACAAAAAGAGTTTTGATAGGTAGATAAATTTGAAAACTATTATTCAATTTATTGTTTGAAAACTATTGTGCCATTTTCTTCCTGGAAATTCACAATGCCCATATCAAAATCTCCAAAATTTCTGAGAAGTCCCACAATAAAGAAACTTGTTTAAAATTCATCAACCATAGGGAAAAAATATGGATTAACTAACATTTTGTAAGTGTTTGGTGGAGAACACTTTGGAAAAAGCTGGCCTAGGGCAACAGAGTCATGGCCTAGAACAAGTGTCTGCTTGGAGATTGCACAGTTAGATAACTGGCAGAACTGGATGAGGAACTCAAATGTCTGAACTCTTCACCCTGACTTTTCCAGGTACCCAACAGTGCACAAAACTTCACTGAAGATAGCAACTCTGATAAGTGTCTATGAATCATTTTGTACCTATCAATCTAAAAATCCTTTTCTCACATTTTACACATTTGTTAGTATAATAACATCATCAGGGTCTCTAAATAGCATCACTCTATTAAGAAGCAAGACATCTTCCCCAGAATACCCTTTTCACCTCTTCTCAAAGTAATGTCATCACCTCTATGTGTTGTCACTGAAGCAAAAAGTGAACAATTAAATTTTTACTTGATAGAATACAAATTTATTGGCAGATAAATCTAAAGGTATGTATTAGAAGTTATAAATTCAAGTGCCTTATAGAAGGTGGTAACAAAAGAAACTAAAACAACTAGGATGGCTGATGACCTCAGTTAAAAGGAGCAAGCAGTCTCTCGTTCTGCTTAGCTTTGTGGTCATGTGCCCTGGGGATCCCAGTATGACCAGATCCTCTGAGCTTTCAAAGGAAGTGAGATATTTGAATTTTATGGTAAATTTTCTCAATTTTAAAATTTCTTTAGAATATTACATGTGCCCAAGAAAGCATGCTTGTAGCAGAATGCAGTCAGGGATCCCAGCTAGAGAATGTGTCACACAGGCATTTGTTATTTAGTCTAATTGGTTACAAGTGCTTGGGCAGTTTAGGGCACAAGGAAAAAGGAAGTTAGGACTGGAGGAAAATGGGAAGGAGCCCAAAGAGTACTGTGGAGAGACAGTCAGGAGGCAGGGTGAGCTCAGGGGATTTGGGCCAGCCGTAAGGACTCCAGTCTGGGGAGGGCAAGCCTCAGCCCTACCCAAGTCCAGGTAAGTGGCTTCTGGATGTCCTTGTGCCTCAGCTCTGCTGTCCCCCAGGGCCTCACTGGGCATTTTCCTTCTGAGTCAGTTCTATCTCCCTGCAAGCTGGGACTCTGGGAAGCCCTTACCTGGAGAGCTATTTCAGGACACCCTCTGCACATGCCACCGCCAATAGTTCTGCTCTTTCTTCTCAGAGCCTAGAATGCCTTTAAAGGATTCCACATTCTGAAAAAATTTGAGATGAAAATTCCTGATCAAGGCACTCCTTCAATGTTCTCTTTGGCAAGTCCATTAATCATCAGGATGTGTCGATTTCAGAATCTATGCCATTTTGCTAAACTCAGAAAGTGCAAGGAAAGGGACCTGGGCACCCCAATAAGGGTTTCCCCGGGGGAGAGAAGCATGTAGGGATGGCAGAGTCAAGCCCCTAGGACTTGACTACCATTAGAGCTGGCTTGCTGTGCCGCTTGGCTGCTGAAGCTTTGCCAAGTTATGTAACACCCGCCTCTCTGGCTTCATGGGATTTATAAAGATTTTTCCTTAATCCTGCTGGCTTTATCCAAAAGGAACACCATTTCTGAGGATTCACATTAATCAACTGGTCACTACAGTCTGATTCTCTGGGCCTCAACTACACTCACCCTTCTAAGCTATTTTGATTTCTTTTAATCTGCCTGGCTGGCCTCTGCTCCCTCTGTGCCCTGCTCCGGACCTCTCCCTTATTCCTGTTGGAAAAAGCAACTCTCCTCAGACAACAGAGAGACCCACTGGTCTAAGGCTTGCCGGGTCAGTTTATATGAGCTAAGTTATGCTGCAATAACAAAGAAATCCTCAAGATTCCAGTGGCTTAAGCCAACATATTTATTTCTGGTTCATTCCATACGTACTGTTTAGGTTAGCAAGCAGTCTTTCCTCACTGTAGGCATTCAAAGACCAGAGGAGAAGTCATCGTGCCATGTGCTTCTGTGATCACAGAGGGAAGAGAAGAACGGGATGGACAATGTGTGGGTTCTTAAAGCCCGAGCAGAAATGACCCAATGACCCACTCATTTTCTGTTTCCCAGTTTACTGGCCACAGAGGGTCACATGTCCTGAGTTCAGTGTCCACAGAGAGGGACACCACATGTCTGTGAGCACTGAAGTAGTCATCTACCATCCTAATTCCTCAAAGTGAGCTGTGATACAGTTAAGGGGCTTGAAACACCATTTTCCCTAAGTATCAATTTAACTATAGGCTGCTTTCTCTTTATTTTTTAGATGAGCAGTGTAGGAGTTTCTGGAGTATAATACCGACTGAGGAACAAGGTAAGTAATTAACCTTATGCTCTGCACACCAGCACTTCTTATAATTTGGACAAGTTTTTACTATTTCATGAGAAGTGGGAGAAAAGACGAAACAGTTATGTATGGTTTTGCCATAAGGTCAAGTCCAAAAGCCAGAAATCACAGCTCCATTCATGTGCCTTAACCCTGGGGGCTGCAAAATGTTAAACAGGCAGCTTTGAGAGGAGGAGAGGAAGCCCTGACTGGCAGTCTCTGGAGATTTCCATGGTGTAAATATTCCTATCATGGCCAATTTCAATCCTAGTAAAATGACAGCAGACTTGGGAAGAGATGAACTCTGAAGTACCACTCCCCATTTTCTTCTCTATGTCACTCATTAAAGTGATAATACTTTCCTACTATCTGTTCTCCCAGCTGGAATAGAGGTTCTGGGAAAGCATGGACTGGATCACATTTGTCATTCGTTGCTATATCCCGTGACCTAACTTGCCTTACAGTAGGGCTTTTACAGGTATATGTTTCCCTTCCCATTTTCTTTACCCACTCCACATCTATACAGTTCCTTAAAGCCACAAGCTGGGTCCATCCGGAGGGAGAACAAGCAGGAACAAATAGGGTTTAGTACAAATGAGCCCTGGACAAGGCTCTTCAAACTCCCAGAATTTTTTGCCCTTGTGTTTGTTTGCGAATCTTCTTTAAAAAGGCTGAGGCAATGTCTTCTGCTGGAATCAAAGCAGCACATCAATCTTTGAGATCTCTAATATCTCTCATGTCATCACACTGCAGTTTTGCTTAGATTGTTCCTTTCTCAGCTATGGGCAATCTTGACAGCAATCTCCTAGGAGTCCAGCTTATTTACCAACCTTCTAAGATTCAACAGAGGCATCTGTGGTTTTCACACAAATATGTTTGCTTTTTGTGATTTGTTTCACAAGTCCCTGTAGCTTGGATATGACTTAGATGTGTCTGCCAGGACCCCTGTGTGGTGATGCTGGGAGGTGGTGAGGAGCCTTTAGACATGGGGACTAGTCAGGAGTGCTAAGGTTATTGGAGTCACTATCCACCAAAAAGATTATGTAGTGTACATGTGTGGACTCTGAGTTAGTTCTTATAGCAAGGTTGTTATGAAAGAGAAAGCCCGGCCCTCCCCATCTCTCTCTAGCCTCCTATCTCACCATGTGATCTCTCCCTCTCATGTGTACTCCTACATTGATGTAATGCAGCCAAAGAGGCCTTTGCAAGAACAGAGCCATGCTGTTTGGACTGTCAGTATCCAAAACTGTGAGCCCATCAAACCTTTTATTCTTTGTAAAGTACCTGCCTTCCAGTATTTCATTATAGTAACAGAAAATAAACTATACAGAAGTGAATTAAGTCAAAGAATTGAACTGTCCAGTGCTTCTGAGTTGTAAATGCCCACCCTTTCTGTCCTCCCTTCCTCTTGCAGGTGTTTTGTGGCTTTCCATTGGGGCTGAGGTCCTGGATATCTTTCTGATGCTGACAAGTGCCCTCTTTCTGGGTTCCAGAGTGAGTTTTCACAGCTCTGGATTCAACTGGCTCAAGGTGGATGCCTCAGTAGCCATTCTCATGGTGCTCGCAGGTATTTTCCAGCAGCATCACAAGAACAGTCAAATTCATCACAGTCTGCCTCAGAGGAGACACAATGCTTCAGACTGGAGTACTCTTGCCAAAGAATAGGCTGGGTCTCTCCTGTCAGTAACTAGTTCATCAAGACATCTGGTTCCCTGGAGACGTCACTGAATCAATCCCATTGGGTGAAAGCAATGTTGTTTTGGGTAACTGATGAAAAAATTGAGCACAGGCACAGATAGCAAATTCTACCAATTTGTCTTTGTCAGAACTAGGAAGGAGGGTACACTAAGTCTGAGAACAGAAATGCCTCCATTAGTTCAGTGGTTAGGCATAAGTTCATGGAGGAATCCTGCCAGGCTCAGATCTCTGTTATTAAATGGCTGTGTGACCCAGGGCAAGTTACTTAACTTCTCTAAGTCAGCAGTCACAGCTAGGCTATCATGATAACTAAATAGGAGTGTGCCTACCTAATAAGTACTGAGTGAGTGGTAACTTATTAAAAATTGTTGTCCAAGATTAATGTTAATGTCCATAAAAAGCACTCACCTTCTTTAGTTTTATATTTTCCAAACAGAGCTTTTTCAAGCAACTTTTAAAGCAGTTTAACTCATTGTCCTAAGTCCCTTAAGTGGTTCTTCCCTCCAAGAAAGAGTCCTGAACACAGACTTCCTCCAGTTCTCCAGCTGAATACACAAAGCTAAATTAATCATGTATCAGTGCAATTTGTATATCACGTCTGTGCCCGATAACTACAACACACCTTTCCCAAGTCTTATCATCAGCAAACAGGAAGATAAAATCCAGTTTCTGGATAGCAAAGAATCGGGCTGTGGACACATGGAGACATAGGTCCTGGCATACGGCACGGTCTCCGTGATTGTGATTACACCTCTTGCTGGATGTCTCATCAGTTTCGCTGTGGGTGGAATGGTTAAGGATGCATAGGTCAGACGCATGATAAGGACCTTAGGGATGCTAGAGAGAGCCGAGCATCAACGCTTGCGGGTAGAGGGGCTCTTCTGTTGTGCTGTGCTCTCATCTGTGGCTCACAAAGCTTTCCTTGTGCAGGGCTCCTAGGCATGGTGGCCCACATCATGTACACAACTATTTTTCAAATCACTGTGAACCTTGGACCAGAAGATTGGCGGCCTCAGACGTGGGACTATGGCTGGTCATATTGGTAAGTTGCTTGGCCATGGTGCTCAAAGCCCTGGCACACAAGCAGAGATGCATATGGGTTTTGTAGGGTGCTTGGCATTGGCCATAATGCTGATAGCTGATGCCCCTGTGGCTTGGGTTAGTTCTGTAACCTTTCTGTGGCCAGGTTCCTCATCTGTAAAGTGAGGGCACTTGCCTCTGCTGTTTTTATAGGTATTTAAAGAGGCTATGTTTATAAAATGCTTGGCACATAGTAAAGTCCTCAAGAAACAGAGACACTCATTATAGTCTTAAACACAGGTTGGGGTGAACTGTCCTGAGCTGTAACTCTTAATACTTACTTCACCAAGAGGAGACCCAGACCTAGTTTCTATCAGAAAGATAAGGCCACAATATAGAAGTTCTCTTTCCAGCAGAAAGACCTGGCCATGTCTTACAAGACTTCAGATGCTCTGTTTGACACGAACCTCCAAAGTATATTGTATCTTTTTAAATCATTTTTGTGATTATTGGGGTTTGAACTCAGGGCCTTATGCTTGCTAGGCAAGCTCTATACTACTTGAGCCACATCTCCAGCCCTGTATTGTATCTTAAAACAGATGTGTATATGCTTACATTCTCATCCTACATGATAATCTCATGTTACATGAAAGTTTTCACATTCAGAATGTGTTAATCCCTGGCAAAATGGAGCCAAAGAAAGCCAGGAAGGGAGAACTCACGTTCACAATTTGCCTGATAACAGGAACTAGCCTCAAGAATTTTTCCAAACCATAGTTTGCTATGAGTCACACCAGAACACTAGAGGCACAAGGACAGTTAAACACTTAAACAAGAACACTTGCCTGACTCATTATCTAACAAGCAGACCCTAACTCCAAGATTACAAATCTTACCTAGCAACTACTGACACTAGCCAATCACAGCTTGACAGCTCCCCTAAACTATCACCGGCATCAATGAACTTTCTTTCAAAACAAAGAGAAACAGCTATTTCTCTTTCCCAGTAACACTCCAACATTTTTCTTTGTTCTTCAGCTATATTGTCTTTCTTTGTTCTTGTCCATCCTGGTCTGTACATGTGTCCTGGATTGCAATCTTATTCTATGTTTCTCCCAAATCAAACCTTTTACATGGAGAGTTGTCTTTATATTTTAATGTTGGCAATAACCTTCCTCTTTGTAAAATACATTACACTTTCAGGGCTCACTTCCTCATTCTACCATTCTGAGATTTGGTGAACACATCTGTGTTGCTGTGATCCTTTCACTTCATGATTTATTGCATTTTAAACTCTGAGTTTTTTTGTCTTCCCAGTCTGAAGATGATTTTTTTTTTACAAATACTTCTTTGTACACCATTCCTTCTGCCTATTTGTCACTTTGACAATTTCCCTCTGAACTAGTGCCTTTGATTCTGAGGGAATATGGCAGAAGCTGCACATAGTTGAGAGATCAATAACTTTATTCCTTCCATATCTGGAAAGGTATTTATCCAATGATCTATTCTTGATCATTTGTCAGAGTGCAGAATTCTTTGTTGAAATCAGTTTCCCTTAGAAATTTGAAGAAACAGCTCTATTGTCCTACAGAATCTATTATTACTGTCTATGGTTCAACACCACTTTGATTCTTGTGCCTGTGTAGGTGGCCTTTGTTTTCTTTTGAAATGTTAGGATGATGTTCTTTGCTGGGTATTTTCTTTTCAGAACATTTATCCTTCTTTCCTGGGCTTGGTGGGCCCCTAGATCTGAATATTTATGTCCTAGAAGTCTGGGGATTTTTGTTGTATTATTTCTTTGATTATTTCCTCTCCTCAGTTTTCTGTACTTTTGGGACTCTTAGTAGTTAGGGATTAATTAGGTCTCAGTTAATTGTCTAAATGTCTTATTGCTTTCCTTATGTTTTCTATCTCTTTTGGTTATACTTACTGAAAAATTTTCTCTGCTTATCTTCCAACTTTTTATTGAATTCTTATTTTGGATCTCATATTAATTCCTAACAGCTCTTCCTTGTTTTAGTTTTTCCTTTTTCCAGTATCCTGACTTTGCTTCACGTATGCAGCACTTTCTCATATTCCTCTGGAGATATTAACCAAGTTATTTTCTTTATCTTGCTGTTTTTTTGTTTCTTGAGTTATCCGTCTCCTTTAGAGTTCTTTTTCCCCCCCTATTTGTTATTAGGCCTTCCCCTCAGATGGTGTCCTTAATTGTCAAGTCATATATGTAAATGATTAGAAACTCTGGAACAGAATTGGAACTTATCTACTGGTAGGTTTTTCATATATGGTTGGGCATGGAGCCATCTATTTTATCTGGGAATTCTACCCTATAAAAAACATTCACATGTACCAGTTTGTAGAGTTTCCTTCTCTGCAATCACTCCATGTCTTCAAAGGGGAATCCCACAATATCTACAAGAAGTGGGGTAGTGTGCCTGGCTGATGGTTTCAGAGATTAGGTATGAGAAAGGGGCTGGAGAGCTTCACAGTCCACATGCAACTTTTCATTCAAGTCCCTGTTTTAAATCAGCTTTTCCCTGCCTTCCATAGGTCCTGTTTTCGCTGAATCTGCAGTCTTTGTCTCCGTGTGCCTTCTCCAGAAAATAAGTCTATGCTCTCTCCTAGGCAAAGGCTGGAAAGCAGGGGAGAGTGTGGTATGGAAGAGACTTGGGGGCCAGCCATCGCAGAGAGTTTTACCCAATTTCCTGATTATTTTGTGTTGTATTTGTGCCTTAAAGTGCTGGCCCCTCAAGGATTTCCTCAGTGCCTCCCCTGCAGAGACTTCGTGTGTAGTTGTCTCCCTCTGTTAGCCCTTCCCCAACTGCCTTCCATCTTCTCACAGTAACTCACCAATTCTCTTAGCCCTGTGTGTTCACACCAGTGCACTAGGAGCTCTTGAAGTCAGCCTTCCATTTATACCCAGAAGTCCCTATACCTTCCCTTTTTTGCAGCATATTATCAGATGTGGGGTTTCAGCAGCAAATCTGTTGGCCGTTAATCATAAGACACTCAGCTGAATAATCCTCCTCTTATCCTAAATTTTGCCTAACAGCACAATACAACATTCCCCATGGATAAAGAGAGCTTTTCCTCAAAATCTTTTCCCACTGCCAGGGTTTATCTTCAATTATTTTTCCTATTCCTGACCCCATTTAAACTAGAATAATGAAAACCCACTAATGAAAACATTAAGCAAGGCCAGGCCCCACCCTGAGTCCTGAGGGATTTCCCTGGTTAGCCAAGTTCACAGCATCAGGAGGCAGTAGAGCCCAGTGAGGAGCCAGATGTCTCTGAGGATGCAGCACCTAAGCCAAACCCAGTTTGTCCCAGTTTCTACATGGTGACTGCAGACAAGCTATCTAACTGCTTTGTGCCTCTGCTTCCTCATCTATAAAACAGGAATTATTATAGTGCCCCCTTCAGGGGATTGCTGTGAGATTACATTAGATAACTCAGTGTTCAATACAACATCTGGCACGTAACAATATTAGCTATTATTCTTATCCATCCAGAAGTACGTCTGTTTAGCCCTACATGTGAGTGTCTTCTCTAATTTGGTTGCTTATCCATCATACACCTTTTCTCTTTATCTCATAATTAGTACAAACATTTAACATCCTTTGGTATAAAACAGATGCTAATATCCATGTTCCCAATCCAGTGTTAAGTTCTACAAACAATGAAAATTATTGACCCTCATCCTAGAGGGCAACAGGCTTCCAGCATGGACAGGGATATAACAACAGCAAAGATTAACACCAGTGTTTCAGATTACAACAACAACAACAACAAGTAGCATTAGAGGTAGCAGGTACTAACTACTTCTCATAAGTTAACTCACTGAAGTCCTAGAAATAGCCCAGTGTGACAGCATTGACATTATTCCAGTTTTACAGGTAAGGAGACTGATATAAACAGGTAAACTAACCAATTCAAGGTCACAGAGACAACAGGAGACAGAGTGTTAGTGCAAACCCAGCACAATGACTTCTCAACCACAGGACTAGAACACATTGACTGTTCCTGGGATTTATGATGCAAACTGCAGGTCCTCATTGCATGGAACCCTGAGCTGGCTTTCACCAGAGTGATCCCACCAAGTAGCCCTGTAATCCCTGTTCTAGGACTTCCCTAACTGTGCCTTTTGTTAGCAGCCTTGCCTGGGGTTCTTTCGCCCTCTGCATGGCTGTGTCGGTCGTGGCCATGAGCAGATACACAACAGCCCACCTGGAATACACAGAGGAGCAGAGAGCACAGAAGGGCAGGCAGTACTCTCAGGACTGTTCTCCAGAACTTGATGCTTCAAAGAAGGTTTGGCAAACCAGAGCTGTTCCCATTCCTACAGGACATGCCCTTGTTAATGTTTTGGGGCACCCAGGTGCCCCAGGCAAGGTGTCTGTGTGCTAGGCCATGTGCACCTAAGCCAGGCACTGGTACCCACATTGAACATCTCTGTAGTGGGCTTCAAAAGACTGTGGCATGGGGCTGGTGGACTGGTTCAAGTGGTAGAGCACCTGCCTACACTAAGGCCTTGAATTTATGTCCCATTACTGCCAAAAAAAAAAAAAAAAAGAAGAAGGAAATTTGAGCTGACAGAATGGCTCAAGTGATAGAGTGCCTGCTGTTTAGGAAGTGTGAGGCCCGAGTTCAAACCCCAGTACCACCACAAAAAAAAGGAAATAAATAAATAAATCAGAAAGGGCTGGGAAGGTGTGGCTGAAGCAGTAGAGTAGCATGCCTGGGTGAGGCCTTGAGTTCAAACCCCAGAACTGCAAAAGACTCAACCTTCACTAGACATCTTTGACTTCTGCCACTTATTCTTATTAAAATGACAGTGTCTTTAAAGAAGATAACTCTTACAGAGATACCAACCATTGACACTCTAGTGTAATGGAACTTCTTAAACTTTCTTGACAGTGGGTTTAATAAGAGTGTCAAAGCCAGGAACTAGAGAAAAGGTTAAATCAAAAAGAATTAACCTAGAAGGTAACACACACACACAGGAAATTAATGTGAGTCAACTCCCTGTATAGCTATCCTTATCTCAACTAGCAAAAACCCTTGTTCCTTCCTATTATTGCTTATACTCTCTCTTCAACAAAATTAGAGATAAGGGCAAAATAGTTTCTGCCGGGTATTGAGGGGGTGGGGGGGGAGAGGAAGGGGGCGGAGTGGGTGGTAAGGGAGGGGGTGGGGGCAGGGGGGAGAAATGACCCAAGTGTTGTATGCACATATGAATAATAAAACAATTAAAAAATAAATAAATAAGGGTGTCAAAGAAAGCCTGGAAGTACTAATGGGAAGAGAAGATGAGGAAAGGAAATAACAAGTCTTCACAGTGGATGCAAAATGCATTGCCTACACAGATTTACTGATAGAAAAGCCCAGATTTTCCCTCTAATTGACACACATGCAAAGAAGCATGTGTAGCTATCTTATATCTCTTATTTTCATCAAGGAAATAGAAATTAAAAGTAAGTTTTGTTACTTAAAATCCTTTTTCTTTGAAATTTTATATCTACATATAGTAAGATCAGTTTGGAGGATGGTCATAGGACAGAAATAAATGAAATCAAAGTCAAATGGAATGACATCGCAGTTCAGTGGAACAAATGCTGGAATAGTCCTGCTTAAGTGAAATCGCCAGGCACATTTGCTTCTAAAAATAAACACTGCCAAGTATGCAAGGCTTGTGAGGGGCAATGGATTACTGTGGGCTTCCTAGTGTGCTCAGTTACAACATTGCGTCGATTTACTTTGTATTTTAAACATGTGCTTGAGCCCACAGGGTGGCAGACACATAATTTGGAGGTTTTAAAAATGTAAATGGATCACCAAATTCTAACAATCTTAAACACATAGCTCAGGTCTGCTTTTAAAATTGTACTTATGTGTTTAGTAAAAATATCATTTCTGAAAAAGAAAACCCTGAATGCCTCCAATAAAACCCTCGATTTGTTTGTGCTGGACCATCACAGTTATTCTGTCAAAGAATAAAGGAAAATTTCAGCGAATTGCTTCACATTTGGGTTTCAAGACAAGCTCCTATCTAATAAATGTTGATCCTGTGGAATTCTGTGTTGCATTGTACCAAATCTAATTAAAGAGATATAAAATGTTTTTTTCTGAAATGTGTCTATCTCAGAGAATGTGTGTTTGGATTCTCTAGGCCCTTTGCTCTCCTGGAAAAGAGGGGTTGTTAGCCAACAGCCTTTGCCCTTTGCATTGTGCAGGCTCTTTTATAGGATGGTCTGTCACCCTGCATATTTGTGTAGGTAGATCCTGTATGACTGTTGTAGTATCAAGTCAAATCTGAGAAAAAGAAGCCCATTGGAAATGTTCCCAAAGAGACACTTCTCTCCTTGAGACACACACCTGGGAAGACTGTGGCTAAAGGTGCCAAGGAAGAAAAGAATTTTCTGGAGTCATGTGAATGAAGCTGGCATCATTAGATGGGGAAAAAAAAGAAGAGCTAGATACTGGTGTCGACATCAGGGCAGGACAGAAGGCTATTGGTCACTGAGACTCAAGTCAAAATTGATCCTTGAGTTCTCAAGGCACTTTGCTTTCTTTTAAGATTTAAAAGTGTCAATTGTATTGAAGGATAATGCAGAGAGAAAAGTATACAAATCATATTTGCACAGCATAAGGAATTTTCAGAAGATGAACGCACCCATGTAACTATGCTACAGATGAAAAAACAGAACCAAGGCATCCCTTTGTCATTTACCTTTGCTACAAGACAGACACAGCTAGATTATAATCCTTCAGTATAATGAAGTGATCCCTTTGTATATAAATTCCCCCTTATACACTATACATTTCTCTATAGGAACTCTTCTTTATACCCCCAACGTCTAGAATAATGGGTGACAATTTTATATGTGTGTATGTATACAAGTTTACATACATGTACATTTACATGCTTGTGTGAGTGTAGACTATCAGATAGACTTTTTAAAAGCATTGCATGGGAAGTAATATAGTTCATGGCTAAGATCATGAACTCTGGAACCAGACAACTTGACCATGATGGTTTAAATATAAAATGGCCCTGAAGGCTCAGGTTTGTTAAAAGTTTGGTCCCCCAATTGGTGGTACTATTGAGAGGTGATTGGGTCAGGACAGCACTAACTTCCTTAATGGATTAGTTCATAGCTGAATGAGCTATTTGAAGGTGGGCCTGTTTGGAAGGAGGAGGTCACTGGGGACATGTTTTTGAAAACACATCTTGCCTCTTGCTCCTTCCTATCTTTTGCTGCCTGCATCTTGACTGCCGTGAGGTGAGAAGCTTTCCTTCTGCCATGATGCTCTGCCTCACCACAGACCAGAAAGAACAAGGCACAAGGCCGGTCGACCAAGGACTGAAAGTGTTATAGTCATTGATAAACAAGTCCAGATTCTTATATCTTGCGTGGATGCATCCAGGAGGACATGGAGATGCTGTGCAGGTGATAATAAAAGTTTATGAAAGGGTAGGGAAAAAGTTACAAATGGCCATGGTGAGCCAGGTGTGAGGCAGAAGCAGAAAGAGAATTTTCTCCTACAAAGTGTTTTTTAACAGGTCACTCTAGCCTATGGGAGGGGTAAAGCCTGAACAGTTCTTGATCACCAATAATGGATGAATGGGGAGAGGTTTGGCTGGTCCCTAGCTAGGGTGGTGGTTTAGGCTAAGGCATGAACAATCTGCATATATTTTGGGGTGGGGAGGAGGTTGAGGGGGAGAGATGGGGGAAATGTAAATAATGTATACTATAAGTCTGGTTGGGATTGTCACTTTGAATCCCCCTGTATGATGAATATATCCTAATAAAAATTCTTATAATAAAAAAGCAAGACATGGAAGTAACAAGTCATTTGACAAAAAAAAAAAATCTGCACATATTTGCAATTAAAAGAATCCTTGGCAGCTATTAAAGTCTTTTGTTGTTGAAAGAGAGGTTCAAAAGTTCCAGTCTCTTAGCTTGCCTCAACTTACCCCGAGAGACATTTCCCAAAATTTCTTTTTCTGGGGTGAGGGTGTTGCTGAGGGAAGAAGTTCTGTCTTCAGTATCTGCTTCAGAGCTGATGAGGGGCTGCAGACCCTGCCTGGTAGGGCTATTGTCCCTCCTACCATATTCCTTGGGACTCATTTAGTCATCATACGGCAACTTGTATAGATTTTCGTCCAGCCTGATCAAGGTTACTCGTGGGGATCTCATCAATCTGCAGAGGTCTCACCCATCTTCAGAGATCAAATAGCCCTATTGCATCATGATTTGGACCCTAAAGGCTTTCTTCCTGGAAGGGACAAAATCTGGTTAACAAGTCAAGATCCGAACATGAGTACTAATAGGAGCTTCAGAAGGGACCTTGCCAGGTACAGTAGCAAGGATGCACAATTTTAAGTCTTAAACCATGTAAACAATACCCTTTTTCTGGGAAAAAGACAACACCTATCTTTTTCAGCTGTCAGAGGATTTAATCTTTTATTTTGAAAAGTGACAACTGTCAGAGTGAAGGGGGCGCTGTTTCTTGCTTTCCCTCCCTTGCTGGAGCGAGGTTTTCTCTCTCGCCCCTTGGTTATTATCGGACCTAACTGGGGGTGACTGGAAATTTTAGAAAAGATACAGGATAGACAGAAAGTTGGGGTCAGGTGTATTGTCTGCTCAGCTGGAGACACACAACCCTCATGGCTTCTTTTCTCTATCCTGATTCTTTAAGGCCCTACTCCTAGTAGTTTTTTAAAACCTTGCTTCAAACCTCTTTCTTGAGACTCACACTATCCCATGTTTTCTCTTAGCTTATCTGCTCTTAAAAGTCTTTTGCCCCCAGGCTTGCACTGTGCCATCTCTCTTTAGCTCTCTCAAAGCCTCAGTGCTCAAACTTGCAAACCAGCAGCCACACCTAAAAACTGCACATACGTAACTCTTAAGGTCTCAGTCCTTAGCCTTGCACTGAGCACTGTCCCATGTTCTCTTTGGCTTTTCTTTAGCTTTCCTAAGGCCTGTGTATGAAGTTCTTTCTCAGCTTTGCTTTCTGAAGCCTATGTTAAAGTTCTCGGTGCAGACTTTCTATCTTTAGCATTTTCCCTTTAACAACTCTTTTCCCTTCAGCAGTTTTTCCCTTCAATAATTCTTTTCCCTTCCAAAAGCTTCCCACACCAGAAGGCCCAAAGTAAAGAGCTTCTTCCCAATATTCAAAGGCAAAAAGCCAAGCAGAAAGTCCAAAAGCCCAAAGTAAAGCCCCAAAAGGCAATAGCAAAAACCCCTCTTCCTCCTTCAGTGGTCTTTTATAGCAGAAAACAGTGGCACCACAGGGAGGGATGTGACATTGTAACAGGAGAAACCTGTGTTCCTTCTCTGTACACAACTTGGGAGACGAAGCTGTTCTGCCTTTCCCTGCTTTGTGGTCGGGGGCTGTGCCCATCTCAGCCTACAGGTAAAAGCAATTAACTGCATCTTGCCTTGCTTGTGTC